AATTATGAGGGGCGGGGAAAAGAGGCAAGGGGTGATGATAGTTCCCGATGAAGATCTTTAGTTGGAATGTTCGAGGACTACGGTCTCGTAGGAAAAGGGCCGTAGTTAAAGAGGTTTTGAAAATTCAAAAACCAAAGATAGTTATATTTCAAGAGACAAAGTGTGAGGAGTGTGATAGGATGTTTATTAGGAGTGTTTGGGGGACTCGATTTAGGAGATGGGCTGTACTGCCTTCTAGGGGAAGATCAGGGGAAATGTTGATTATGTGGGATGAGAGAGTTGTAGTGGAGTGTGAGGTTGTTGTTGGGGTATTTTCTTTGTCTATTAGGTTCAGGAATAAGGATAATAAGGAATGGTGGTTGACAGGGGTGTATGGTCCTAATAGATCTGGGGATCGTCGGGAGTGGTGGGATGAGTTAGTGGGATTATTCGGGCTTTGTTCTCCTTATTGGTGTGTGGGTGGGGATTTTAACGTGGTTAGGCAAATTTTCGAAAAATTAAATGGGGTTTCCACAAATAGGAGTATGCGGGACTTTGATTCTTTTATCAGGGAGTGTGAGTTGATAGATCCTCCTCTGAGTAATGCGCGTTTCACATGGTCTAATTTGCAGGAAAATAGGCTGTGCTGTAGGTTGGATAGGTTTCTTCATACTTTGGGGTGGGAGGAGTTGTTTCCGGATGTAAGGCAAGAGGTAGGGCCCAGAGTGGTGTCAAATCATTGTCCTGTGATTCTAGAGAGTTGTCCTTTTAAATGGGGTCCAACCCCATTTAGGTTCGAGAATATGTGGTTGGAAAATCGTGCGTTCAAGGCATTCTTTAAGGAATGGTGGGAAAATGCTCGTGTCCATGGGTGGGAGGGTTTTAAGTTTATGCGCAGGTTGAGAGGAGTCAAGGAGAATCTTAAAATCTGGAAACGTGAAGTTTTTGGGGATACGGGTGAGTTGAAAGCAGAGCTAGTTCGGGAGATTGGGGAGTTAGATGGGAAGGAGGCCGAGGAGGGATTATCTCAATCGTTAAGGTATAGGAGGTCAATGCTAAGAATGAAGTTGGAAGAGATCATTTTTAGGGAGCAAATTTTTTGGGGTCAAAGAGCTAAGTTGAAATGGGCTAGAGAGGGTGATACCAACTCTAGATTTTATCATAGAGTTGCGTCGGGGAAGAGGAAGAAGAGTTTTATTAAGAATTTGGAAGTGGCTTCAGGTGAAGTAGTGTGTAAGGAGGAGCTTATTGTCAAGGAAATTTTTAATTTTTATTCAAATCTATATTCCGATGGGGTTGTGGACCGTCCAGGGATTGAAGGCATTAATTGGGTCCCAGTGGATTTAGCGTCTGCTAGTTGGCTGGAAAGACCCTTCGACGAAGAAGAGGTGAGACAGGCTGTATTTGAGTGTGACAGAGACAAGGCTCCTGGCCCAGATGGTTTTTCAATGGCAGTATTTCAGGATTGTTGGGATATTGTAAAAAGGGATCTTATGAAGGTTTTTTCTGAGTTTTTTGAGAGTGGGCAAGTTAATTTGTGCACCAATGCCTCTTTCATTTGTCTAATTCCTAAGAAGGAGAAGTCAATCAAGATTGGGGATTTTAGACCCATTAGGTTGGTCACATCTCTTTATAAGATTTTAGCTAAAGTGCTTGCTAGAAGGCTCAGAGCTGTCCTGGGGGGCACTATTTCTTCGGCACAAGGTGCATTCGTGCAGGGTCGGCAGATTTTGGATGTAATTTTAGTGGCCAATGAGGTTGTGGAGGAGTATAGGGGATTACGTAAGAAGGGTATTGTATTTAAGGTAGATTTTGAGAAGGCATATGACCATGTTGATTGGGGTTTTGTGGATTTTGTTTTGGAAAGGAAGGGGTTTGGTGTTAGGTGGAGGAAATGGATTTGGGGGTGCTTGTCGTCATGCAGTATGGCAATTATTGTGAATGGCAAGGCGGGAGAGTTTTTCCAAGCATCCAGGGGCCTAAGACAAGGTGATCCTTTATCACCATTTTTGTTTATTTTAGTTGCTGATGTGTTGGGTAGGATTATTGAGTTAGCTAAGGATAAGGGTGTCATTGAAGGGTTTATGGTGGGAAGGGATAGGATAGGTGTGACTCACTTACAATTTGCGGATGATACTATTTTCTTCTCATCAAAGGAGGAAAGTAAGGTGGGGAGTCTACTGAAGATTTTAAGAATTTTTGAGATAGTGTCTGGCCTCAAGGTCAATCTTAGCAAAAGCAGTGTTGTGGGCATTAATTTGGCTGATAGTCAGGTGCATAGGGTGGCGGCCTTGTTGAGATGTTCAATTGATTCCTTCCCCCTCAAATATCTAGGGCTTCCGCTTGGAGGAGATCCTAGATTGGTGTCTTTTTGGGAACTTGTTCTTGTTAAAATTAGGAAAAGATTGGAGGGATGGAAGCGAGCTTTGTTGTCTAAGGGAGGGAGGTATACGTTAGTACAATCCGTATTAGGCTCGGTTCCTATTTATTTCCTGTCCCTTTTCAAAGTTCCGGTTAGCATTGCAAGAAAAATTGAGAAATTGATGAGGGATTTTCTCTGGGAAGGGTGTGAGGAGGGTAAAGGAGTTCATTTGGTTAGGTGGGAGACTATTTCTCTTTCTAGGGCAAAAGGTGGCTTGGCTATAGGGAACATTGTTGCCAGGAATATTGTTTTATTGAGCAAATGGTTGTGGAGATTTCCTTTTGAAAGTGAGTCGTTATGGTGTTCAGTTATTAAAAGCAAGTATGGAATTCAATCCAATAGTAGAGATTCTAATGTGGTTAATAGAGGCAATTGTCGTTCTCCGTGGAAATCCATTTCTCGTTTGTATCCTCTTGTGTCTAATTATTTTTCATTCAAAGTGGGGAACGGGGAGAATGTTCGGTTTTGGGAGGATGTTTGGTTAGGGGATATTTCGTTTGCTAGATCTTTTCCCCTTCTTTACAGGTTGGTTCGTTCTCCAAATGTGTCTATAGCGTCGGTGGCTTGCTCGTCTATGGCACCCATATCCTGGAATTTTGATCTCATTAGAAACTTGAATGATAGGGAGGCGGGGGAATTGGCTTCTTTGTTGGTTGTGCTTGAGAGGGTTTCTCTTTCTTCGACTCCCGATAGTAGGGTGTGGAACCTTGTCTCTTCTGGGGTCTTTTCATGCAAATCCTTTTTTGATAAGATTATTGATAATCCCTCGGTTCCCTTGTTCCCTTTTCATAAGAAACTTTGGAAAGCGAGTGTCCCTCATAAAGTGAAGTTTTTCATGTGGTCTTTGGCTCAAAAGGGTGTTACAACTAATGATGTTCTTCAGAGGAGAAGGCCTAATCACTCTCTTTGCCCCCAATGGTGTGTGATGTGCAAGAGTAATCTGGAGGTAGCGGATCATCTTTTTCTTCATTGCCCGGTGGCTGCAGCATTATGGCAACGCCTTTTCAGGTTATGTGATGTGCAGTGAGTTGCTCCAAGGGAGTGTATGCGTATGCTTCTTATTCGGTTTGACGGGTTTGGGAGTACTGAGAAAGCCAAATCAATGTGGTTAGGCATTGTTTTTGCTATTTTTTGGGTTATATGGTTGGAGAGAAATGTTCGAATTTTTGAGGACAAGGTAGCAAGTGTAGAGGCTTTGTGGGATAGGGTTGAATATTTGGCTTCTTTTTTGGCTTTTGTATCTCCTCCTTTTAAAGGAGTCCCTTTGTTTTTGATTTCTAGGGATTGGGCTGCTGTTTGCCATTCTTAGAGTTTGGAGTTTTGTGATTGATTTTGCTTTTTCTTCTTCTTTTTTCTCTCTTTGTAAGAGGACTTCTTGTCCTCTCTCTTTTCCGTTTTAAAATTTTTTTGTTGTTTCTCAAAAAAAAAAAAAAAAAATTTTTTTTTATAAAAAAAAAAAAAAAAAAAAGATAAATTAAATGTAAATATAAAAATTTCATCCATATACAAGCCCATCTATTTATTTTGTAACTTTCGACTTAGTATAATGAATTGAAGCTTTATTAAAAAATGGTGGTTGAAGAACAGTGGTTGATAGGTAGATGAATAAAAAAAAGTGTAATCCTTGGTGCCTCGAATTCATCTTGCCTCGAATTTCTGTTCATCGGTCGTCCGGCAAAAAGACTAACAACCGTGGTTGTCACCTTGTCAACTGCGGCTGTCAACCTTTTCGCCGGCCGACCGGCCGGACGATCAGTGAACAGAAATTCGAGCCATTCGAGCCAAGGTCAAATTTGAGGTATGTAGCATTGCTCTAAAAAAAATAGCACATGAAATACTACACTGTTGGAGCACCTGTACTATTTGGGCACAGTGAATGCTACATACTACTGGAGCAACTTATAGTAAATTTTTATGAAGTGCACTTTTGTTGTGCTCAAAAATAGCCCAAATTCCACTAGATATGCTCTGGCATAGCACACGAGTATGGCATATGGCATTATCACATAGGGAAAATGATGAACATGCACTTGTGGCATGCAAAGTAAGAAACAAGATCATGAAGTTATTCAAACACACTTTAATCACATACATGGTCTCAGTGAAGCATGTGAACAATTCTACTTCAATTCTACTTTCTCATGTCAAAGACAACTCTCTGAGAGTAATTCATAGGCATAGTCAAGACACTAACATAGCATGTTTAAGTCACCTAGCACACAAGTATGGTATATGGCATTATCACATAGGGAAAATGATGAATATGCACACGTGGCATGTAAAGTAATACCTAGGGTATTACATAGCGTTTCACTGTTCATGATAAAGAGATGATTACTTTAGTGTGTAATCCACATGTTCTGACATTTGACGTTTACAATCCAAGAATTTATCTTGGTTGTATTAGTTGTATATCCACATTTCTTTAGCAATATCACAAGTCCTTTATATGGTTGTTTTTGCTTTTATGCTTCTGAAATACTTTTATTTCCTTTTTCTCTGTTTGGATTTGATAAACCTAGTTATTGCATACATACTGTTGATGGAGTCTTTTCTTAGTTTTAATTAGTGACTAATTGATAATATCATTTGTTATTAGGGAGCGACATGGGATCCCGATGGAGGAATGATACTTGTTGCTTTCTCTGAATCTTTAACATTAGGTTCTGTTCATTTTGCATCAAAGCCTCCGTCACTAGGTATGTGAGCGTCTTCCCTCTTTTCCTTAGTAGCTCTTATTCCTATTGAATGTTTTCAACATTATGCTTGTTTTCCGAGTTGAGGTTGTAATGGATATGTTGGTATGAGGAAATTGTAGTGTGGGCTTGTGTGCGCATTGCTGGCATCTCTATGTGTCTGGTCTGACTACCTCACAATCTCTATTCTCTTGAATAACTTATTTATTTAACAAAGAGATCTATGGTCTTGGATTCTCTCTCTCTCTCTCTCTCTCTCTCTCTCTATGCATGTGTGTATTGTTGTTTTTTCTTTGTGGTGGGGTTGGTTAAAGGCTTTACAAATCCTGGGTTTGTGGAAAAGTGTATTGGTAAGTGTTTTTGGGTATCATGGTGTTGGGAGTTAGTATATGGTGTGGGAGATAGTAACGGTGTGGTGGGATACAGAATGTTTTGAGGGATTCAAGTACTTTGTTGTTGTATAGTTAAGATCTACTTAGCTATTTTTTTTTTCCTTTTTGTTTTTGCTTATGTTCTTCTAAACTTAAAAAGACTCGTGAGGCCGAGGGGTTGGTTGTGTGGATGTGAGCAGCAGTAGTAGGGGAGTTTGCCCTCTCTAAATCTCTCTTAGTGCATTTCATTTCCTTGTACCTTTAATTTCACGTCTTTAATGAAATTTTTAGTTTGCTGATATAAGGGGAAAGAAAAGAAAGTTGGAGAAGATATAAGGCTTGACAGTTTTAGTTATCTCATCTTCAATTTTGTTTACGCTATTCTGAAGAAAAAACTAGATGCCATCATGTTTTACAAATATGAACTGTAAGTTACACTTTGCCTCCAACTAGAGTAAGATGTCAATCATTATGATATTTCATATTTTATTATTAGTATCGTAAAACAGAATATTGAGGCCTTTTTGAAGTATTATTTTAGTTCATTTAGGTCATGTTTGGACATCTGGATGGGATTTTGGTCCAAGTAGGAGATATATGGTCAAACTGGATTGGAAGCGTATCCTCCATAGATAAATATTTTCTGTTGTATTTGATGTGGTATTGATTAATAGCCAACAATAGTGTTATATAACATTTTTTTTTCTTTTCTTAATTATCAAAATCCAATAAAATTTGAACTCTTCAAAATTAATCGAACTTAAAAATATTAGAACCAAATGAGAGTGGGGATAATATGGATGTTGATAAAAAATTCAGGATAAAAAAAGAAAGAAAGACTTTCATATGCAATAAAAATATGTATTATTATTATTATCTTTATCTTATTCTTGTGTGTGTGTGTGTTTTTTTATTTTTTTTTAAAGGAAGAAAATTCTTGAAAAAGAGCCAAATTAAAGTGGTACAAACAGATTTATGTTTTTTGAGTGTTTTCTTCCAAGAAATAATACGTAACTGTAAATTAGTTTGTGTTAGATTTTTGTTTCATATGTCAACCATCAATTCCTTATTCTAGAAAATTATGTGTAATCATTTAATCAAATCAACTAATGAAAATTCCCTAAAAAATATTACAAAAAATAAATAAATAACAATGGTGATGATCCCTCATAGGTTATACGAGTACCCTCTCCATAAGGTTGAGAGATCTGGAAAGCCACTAATTATGTTATGATGTTAGTAGATGTTTAATAGATTTTGGGACTTTTTATTCATGTTCATACTATTACAGTATATGGAATGTGAAAAAAAACTATTTCTTACTGTGTTTTCTCATAAAAAAAAAAATGAAATGGAAATTTATTTGTACTGTAAAATTTGAAGAAATTATTATTTTGAATATATATTATTTATGTGTTGTCATGTTCATGTTGTGTCATGTCTTGTTTTTTTAAATTGTTGCGTCAGTGTGTCCATACCATGCTGTATATCAATGTTGTACCATGTCTGTATTTGTATTTGTGCTTAGTTTAGTTGGTATGACATATTTAAGGACAAAAGGTGCTTTTGGAAAAAAAAAAAGGGAAAAAAGAAGTTATAAATAGTCTTTAGTTGGTTCTCTGTTTCTGTATCATTGTCTATTCATTTTGTTCAGGAAAACTGTATATGTACTCTATTGTTCGTAACTATAGGGAGCTTCTTTCCAAACACCACTTTCTCTCAGTTCACACATTTTTTTTGGTTATGATACCAATGTTCGAACAAAACTACATTGTTTACAAATTAACTTCCGAACAAAAACGTATCATTCGGCTATATCTTTGGTTTAGAAGTTGATTTCCGAATCCGAACTACAGATTTTTGTTTGGAAGTTGATTGCCGAACCATGTAGTTTTGTTTGGAAGTTGATATTTGAATTAAAAATGGGGTGTGAACTGAGAGTGGTGTGTGGAAATAGAAGTTTCCATAATTCTAGGGCACTGAATTAGGCTTTAAGAATTGATTCAATTCTTTGCATGTGATGATTTTGCCAGATGCACACCTTTTGCCGGTTGATTTGTCAGAGATACAATCCTTGACTCACAGGTAGAATAACTTTGTATTTAAATCCTATACCTTCTTAATATTTTCCATGTTTCAAGGTTTACGAATTGACTCTTAAAATAGCCCTGTTTAATGAGTAGTTCTTATGGTGTTTTCAAACTAACATAGAACAGACAGAGTACTATACATGGTTATATAGTAAACTCAACTACTCAAGCATACTTATTGGATGCGGAGTCCAACTAAGCATGTCGAACACATGTCCTTATTCAAATGTCAAGTGTCCGACACGGGGACTTAACAAATTTAGAAGAGTCGATGTAACTTAGAAACGCACATGTTAAAAGAAGAGTTTGAAAAAGAAAAAGATAAGAGGTTTTTTCTCATTACATTTTCTTGTTATTTATGCAGTCGAGGCATTGAGAAGATAGCTTGGGATGCTTCGGGTGACAGATTGGCTTTATCATATAAAGATGGGGATGAGCTGTACAGGGGTCTCATTGCCATTTGTGATGTCAAAAGGACTCCACTGATTTCTGCATCATTAATGTGAGTTATTGTCTTGTTACATGTTTATCAATTATCATTTGGTGTTTTAACCAGCCGCAGTATCTTTTTATTTCTTATTGTTTCTATTAGGCTGATATATTGGCAGGGTAATATACAACTTTTAGTAGCATTAAAAGGTTGTTCATTGTCCTGGCATCATCCATAAATTTGGCAATAGTCCCCGCCGTGTCTGTTATCATTATTATGGGTAGTGCTAATGACCTTCAAATGGGTGGTCATTAGTCTCAATATATGTGTAAGAAGTGTATAGAAAGTGTTTTGGACTTACTTTTGATTCACATAACACTTGACTCTCTTTTCACCAGTTGTTCGTTATTCGTATAGATGGAAAAATGTTGCCATTTATTTTACATTGAAATATATATTTTAATTTGTTTTTCCTTGTGTCTACAGACCATTGACATTAATTCCGCTCACTTTAGCCTTACTAAAGGGAGATTGGTGTAATTATGGCAAACTTGTGGGGTTTATTGTATTTTTTCTAAACCTCAGGGTGGTCTGTGTATTTTACCCTTATTGTTATTATAAATAGTGACTGTTAACAATTTGTGTGTGAATGTTTCTAAATCTGTTGATTGTACTTGAATGGTACCTTTAGCATGTTTCTAATCTTTTTTCTTTTTTTTTTCCGGTCGTATTAATCCAGTGGGTTCATTAGAGGGCCTGGAGACAATCCGAGGCCACTTGCTTTTTCATTTCATGACAAGTTCAAACAGGGACCGTTGCTTACTGTGGTAAGTCCATTACACTATTCTTTTGTGCTCATACTCTTCTCATGTTCTTGGTAAGATCATTGTGGTAATTTATGGTTCCACTTCAAACTATATTCTCAGTGAGACAAACATGCACATTTTCAGCAAATGATTTTGATCAACGTGTATGACATAGATGTGGAGAAGGTCATGTGTATAGATTATAACCAAACCAAACCAAGCCTTGTGTCCGAATTAACAGGGGGTCGGCTGCATGAATCTTTTTCTGCCATTGTATTCTAGTGAGAGCAGTGCAAAATACACTAATATCCTAGCAAATTACATTTTGGAATGTACGTTCTGGTATATGGTACACTTTTATTTTAAAACGATAAATTTAGTGATTTGAAGGAATCCCAAACGTTTTTTCTATTTTATTTCCTTTAATGTTTCCTTAGGAGGAAACAATAAAATATAATGAACTAAAATTTAGGAGGAGTGAAGTTTTGCCATGACAAAACATAAAAAAAATGGCAAATAATCGTAGTGGCACAAACACGGACACGACACCGACACTAATATCAGATTTAAAAATATTATGTATTTTTATTTTATGTTTTAGAATTAATATTTAGTTGGGAATATTTAATTTAGTATAGAATAGTATAGATTTATTTAGTTTCTTTTCTTAATTTGATTTGATACAATTTGACTCGTCTATTAGCGTTGATTTTTATTTCCTGTTTTATTAGTTTCTTGTTCTCCAAGAAGTAGGTTTATTATAAATAAGGTTTTAAATCTTACGGCTATGGACTTGAAGTTGATATTTGATTAATAAAAATTGAGAATTTGCTCAATATTGTTCGTTCTTAGAGAGAGTATCTCTAGTTTGATCTTGTTGTTTGCTCGTCTTTTCAATATGCTTCCTGCATGAGACATGCCGACACGTTTTTTAAAAAAATGCAGGGCACGACACAACACGCTTGGGACATGTTTAATTTTTGTAATTTTAGAAATATATTATGTCATATATATGAATAATTTATTCAAAGATAATAAAAAAATGTAACATACCTTTTTACATTAAAAAGCTATATATTTCATAAATTAAACATCAAGGTGTTATTTACATAGCAATTACATCCTAAACAAAAACAATAATATAAAATTGTATTGCACATGATGTTCTTTTAATATATTTAGGATACATAAGTTGTGTTATAAAGAATGGAGAACATTGTTATAATGGAGGGATTCATCATATAGGATATATTTGGAGGATTCAAGAAGTGTCACCGAAGTGTCGCTAATGTGTCTGATGTTATGAATTTGATTTTAATCCAAACACATTGAAGAAGTATTGGGCATGCTTTTAGGAGTGAGTGTCCAAAGAGTGCCATGTCGGACACAGGTGTTTGACATGACACATTTCCTCTGTAGAAGTGTCCGTACTTCTTAGGTCATAATGTTCATAGAAATGTTTTGCTACATGGTTAATTTGGGAGGAAAAAAAAATTACATTTTATTGGATGCCTAATAGTTAAATGAAAATTACTCTAAAATTTCTTAAATTTTCTTGTAGTGTAAACTATACAAATCTACCTTATTGTTTCACATTTTAAAGCAAGTTGTTTACCACATTCCTGATCCCGTTCCACATACCGGAATGATCCACATTCTAGGTAACATAGAGCAACGGTTATATGCTTAGTTAAATTTAATAAATTCATACACTTTTTTAGTACACCCCATGATAGTTTAGGTGTTCGTTGTGCATACATTGTAGAAGTTTTTATGAATGGTCCACAGAATCAAAATTTTTGTTTTCTGTTTACATGTGCCACAGCAGAAGTCGTCTTGTCACTGGATTAATTATGCAGCATTAGTGATACATTTTAACCTCATGTCATCTATTGTGCAGTGTTGGAGCAGTGGATTTTGCTGCACCTATCCACTTATATTTCGTTCACATGTTCTTCCCTAGTCAAGGCATTTGTTCTATTTTGGATTTTGTTTCCCTCTCTTGTAAAATGCTGATTCTGTAGTACATGAATTCCATCTACTCTTCATGAAATTTCAATTGAAAAAGGTGTTTTTAATTTTTTAATGTACAGTTTTTTTCTTGCTTTTAAAAGTGAAAAATTCACCATACCAATAGAAGAATGTTGATTTTGATTCGGAATTAAATTCTTTATTATAAGAGATCAACAAAATTGACATGTTTCGATACTCCCGGGCTCTCTTTCCGACCCTCATTTGGTTGGAAGTGTTCTTGATAAGTCCAAAGAATATATCCTCTGGTGATTTATAATTCCAGACTGGTAAAATTAGATCGGACATTGTGAAGTCTTTTGGTAGGTAAAGCATGATTTGAAACATAGCCAGTTATTCTATACATCAAAGGTTGAGATTACGTTGATACTTACTCCCTTTCTATTGCTCTCTTTTTGACATTCTTGTAGGTTAGTTGACTGTTTTGCTTTCACACCGAGGCTTTTTGTTTTTTGCGGGAGAGAAAATGTTGTTAAATTTTACCCATTTGAAGCTTAGGACAACCCTCTAATCGCAATTTGTGCACATCAAATGCATCTGTGTATATATATTTATACAGATTTCTTCAAAAATTAAGTTTTAACATTTGTATTTAAAAAAATGATATTGTATCGCTGGAATGCTTGCAGATGTGTTAGGATTTTAGAAATAGCCGTGGCCTAGTTATACGAACTTGGCTGTTGAACTAGGAGAAGGCGTGAATTCCTGTATCACTGACATGGATGGCTCCATTGTATTTTGTTTTTTTTGTGTTTATTATTGGATCAGAATAGCTGGAGACCTTGATGACATATTTATGCTTCTCCAAAATGGTGGAATCTGTTTGGACATCTAGAGGGTAGAATAAAGATTCAAGAGGGTTCGGAAGGACCTGTAACCTGTTGATCATTTTTATGCATTAGAACTTTCGATTTCAAACCGTTTTTCGTTTTCATTTTTCTGGAAACGGAAAATGAAAACTTATTTGATATATTGTTTTTGTTTTTGAAAAAGTGAAATTGATTTCAAATTTAAAATTTTTTGGAAATGTTAAAAGGAGAAGAAGATATTCTCACTTTCTTTCTCTTCTCCCTCTTCCACCACCTCTGGTCACTGTCTACTGCTAGTTACCCTCCAGCAAGCTCCAGCCTCTGATGAAGTTATAATGTCACTATTTTGTTCATCTACCGTTAGTGAGGTTGACAAAAATTTGAAGAAAAGGGATTAAAATAAAATTTTTGTGAAAGTATAAGGATCAAAGTGAGATTTTGATGAAAAGTGTAGTGGTGCTAGTGAGACGGAAAAAAAAAAGGTCATTTTAGTACATTGCCAAGTTTTGTTAGCCTTATTAACGATCAATGAACTGAAAAATGGCATAGTAACTCTACTTAAATTGTAGGTTTGACTGGCACAATTAGCCGTCAAAAAGAAAAATGGTAGTTGGCTAAAAACAACTTTGACATTATTGGAACGATATTATCAAAAATTAACAAAATGATATTATAGTAAATTGAAAAATGATTTGACTTCTCAACTTTCATTTTAACCATTAGAGGCCTTTTTAATCAAAAGTGAAGTCTTTTACTATCATAATTGCAAATCGATAAACCAATGTCAGGTTTGCAGTTAAATATCTTTAATTTAATTTTATCATAAAGTGGCCAAAGTTCTAATGTTGGGTTTGGTTTAAAAAATTGGTAAGGAATTTGTAGAGAACGTATTAGGAAGGAGGAAAAAAATAAAATAGAAGTTAAATTTTTGTCACATTTTCTTTTCTCCTCTCAAATTCCTTCTTAAATTCTAAATCTAAATACAATCTTATCTTAAGAGCTCGTTTGACAATCATATGTTTTAGTCAAAAAGTTAAAAAGTCACTATAAATTGTCACACTACTCTCTATTTTTTCACACCACTCTCTATTTTTCTGCACATTTTTTCGTAAAAAATTAAAAAATTACTAAAATAACTTATTTCTAAACAAGGCCTAAGTCTGTGAAATGATTTATAAATCAGTTTCCAAATTCATCTTTCTCAACTTCTCAACATCAAGGACGTGAATTGAGGGTGACCCTACCCAGTTACTATCTCAAGGGTGATGCAAGCCAATGGTGGAAGTATGCAAAGGGCCGTATAGAACCAACATGGGAGGCGTTTGTGGTGGCCTTCCAAGACAAGTACCTACCTCCCACAGCTACGAAAAGATTGAAGCAGGAATTCAAGGACCTTAAGCAACTAAATATGTTCGTGGCCGAGTTCGAAGTAGCCTTCTCCAATTTATCCCTATTTGCACTGGAATTAGTAGCAACGGAGGAACGCCGTTGCATTGAGTTTGAGCAGAGGTTGAGGACGAAGATCCTATTCAAGGTTGCTGGGAACATGATCCGGAATTATGATCGCCTTGTGGAGGCAGCCGCACATGTGGAAATTATTGTGGAGGCCGAGGAGGAGAGACTTCAGAATTCGAGGTCTAGGGGCTAAGGATCGCTGCGAGACTATAGGCCAAATAAGAAGAGTAAGAGCACCTTTTCATCCCAATCCCAGCCCCAGCAAAAGTAACCTAGATCTACCTTTCCCTTGCCTAGTGCGGGCTCGGGAAGAGATGCGCCGAGTGGGTTTTCTTGCTTTAAATGTGGCCAACTGGGTTACAAAGCCTTTGCTTGTCCACAGAAGGGAGGAGGACAACAACTGTTGCCACCATGACCACCACATAACCGATCTCAGTGTCAGCCACAGAGTAGGGGGCAGGGGCCTACTTGTTGCCAGTGTGGTCAATTAGGGCATATGAAGAGAGCTTGCCTGCAGTTGGGAGGCGCATTTGCCGTATCAGGGTCGAGGCAGACTCAGAATCATCAGTAGACCCATTCAGTTTAGCCTTCGAGAGTCCATCAGGGAGCCACTTCGGCTCAGTCGGTACAGCAGGCCTACGCTTTGAGGGAGGAGCAGGGGGTTGATCAGAGGCCAGAGGGGCGTGTGTATGTAGTCACCGCTCTAGAGCAGTTGCCGAGATCCTCAATTGTGAGAGGTATTTTTATTGTGTGTAATTCTTTGGCCAGTGTGTTGAGAGATACAGATGTGTCTCATTCATTCATATCTGTTGCATTCCCATCTGCATTGGGGTTAGAGGTGGCACAGTTAGTGCTCCACTCAGAGTAGAGTCTCCAGTAGGGGGTACAGTTGATTTAGATCGAGAATGTCATGGTTGTGAAATAGAGGTTGCCGGGCGTAGACTCCCGTTTGCTTTTGTGTTGCTAGACATGCCAAGTTTTGATGTTATTCTAGGCATGGACTGGTTGTCGTCGTATCGGGTAGTGATTGATTGTTTCTGGCAGAGGGTCGCGGTGTGTACTTCGAGTGGTGATTGTTTTTATTTTCTAGGGGACCGAGTTTATTGGGTCTTGTCGCCAGTATTTGATCCTCGTAGTAGGAATGAGCTTAGTGGTCTTCTTGCTACACTTCTGGATAGTGAGAGTGGCGAGACTCAAGTTGAGTTGCCAAGGGTAGTGTGCGAATACCCGGACGTGTTTCCTGAGGACCTTACAAGTTTGCCACCCCACCGAAAGATTGAGTTCACCATCGACTTAGTGCCTGGAACGACACCAATTTCTATGGCGCCGTATATATTTGCACCCGCGAAGTTGCATGAGTTGAAGATCCAACTCGAAGAGCATTTAGACAAAGGCTTCATTCGCCCTAATACATCACCTTGGGGAGTGCCGGCTCTCTTTGCGAATAAGAAGAATGGGTCGTTGCGGTTGTGCACTGACTACCGCAAGTTGGACTAAGTTACCGTTAAGAACAAATACCCATTACCAGGAATAGATGACTTGTTCAATCAACTTAGAAGGTCTTGTTGCTTTTCGATGATAGACTTCAGGTCGGGGTACCATCAGTTGACTGTCCGGGAGGAGGACATCCAGAAAACGGCTTTTCGTATGCGTTATGGCCATTATGAGTTGCTTGTAATGCCATTTGTGTAATAACCTGACCCTCGTACGTGTTTCTGGTATACTTTCAGTCTCTTATTCTGTACATTTAAATGCTTACTGTGAAATTTCATGTGAAATTAAGTTGAAGTGAGTGGATCTTAGGATTAGAGACCTATATATGTTTAATAAGAGAAATATCTGTTACAATTATAATGTTTAGATCAGAAATTGGAAGCCTTAGAAGCTTAATAATCTAAAATTGATTTTATATTTGAGATCAGCATAATTTTTAGATCGTGATATGATTTTCTGTAAAGATTTGATTTGGAATGATTAAACTGATTGACTTTTGTCTTTATTCACTTTTATATAAACTTGGTCCCTTAAGCACTTGACTTAATAAGCTTGAACTAAAAAATAAAAAATAAAAATACCTCCTGAGGGAGAGGGAGAGAGTAGTGAGGAAGAACAAAGGGGGAGAGAAGTCCTTCAAGGAGAAAGATTAGGGAATTAAGAGAGCTTGTAGAGATTTAAGTTCAAGGTATGTGTTATCTACTTTTATTAAGCCTCTCTTGATTAAAAAGTGAGGAATTCTCTACAATATTGAAGCTAGGGTTTGTAATATAAGTCAAGCATGTATTAAGTGATTAGTTGGGATGATGCCTCTTGTGTTTGGTTGATTTGGAATTATATTGAACTATCTAGTGAGAATTTACATCTCATTTCTTCAATTGTCATGCTTGAGCTCAACTATGTGGATGAATGGCCATGTATGTATATATCTATGTGTGAGAAAAGTTGGAAATCTCATGGAATTAAGCTATGTTTATGAGTTTCAAGGAACTAAAGACTTAATTGAATTTGTGATCCATGTTTATGGAGTTGTTATGCTCTTATATTAAGTTATTCTTCCTATTTCTTCCCTTGTAATGTGTTGGTTTTGCTGAATTTTGGGTTGAATTCGGACTGCACAAAACAGGGGCCCCGGCCGTACGTGCGGAGCACCACCGCACGTGCAGAGGTCATGGCCGCACGTACGGAAAATGGGAAAAAAAAAATTGATATTGCATTCTAAAATTTACCGCATGTACGAGAGAGTATCACTGCACGTGCGGAGGGGACTGCCACACGTGCGGCCCGTGCCGAAAAA